AGGCTCCCGGCTGACGCGGTCGCCTGGGGCAGAGCTCGCCGGACGCGCCGCCAGCGGTGCTGACTGGGGCTCTTTCTTTACTAGGAAACCCGGTTTCCCCGCGGGCGAGTCCGGGAACGCGCAGGTACGCACACAAACACAGAACACATACACACGCGCGCGCGCGCGCGCCAGCGCGCTTGGTCTTCACAACTGCATCCCCAAACCGGCAGAGCGAAGCCACTGCGGTTTCTCGTGAAGCAGAGCCTTTGTGCATCAGGGAGAGCCTGGTGCCTGCGCTGCCGCCTCGGGTACCTCCCCCCGCAGACCGCTCACCCCATCGGGTAAGCCAGTCTCTCTCCTCGGGACCTGTTCGGGGTTGGTGTCTGCAGACGGAGGGAGAGGGTGGGAGGCTGCCGGTGCGCCAAGGGGGGCGAGACCCGGACTTGAAATGTCAGGGGCATGCAAGCCGACCAGCTTCTAGCAGCGTCGTCTAGCGGGAGCAGTTACTACTCTGGTTACTTATTCCACCCTCCTTAGGAGTTGCTCCCTCTCCACTCCCCTTCTCCCCCACACCCCCCAGCCCAAATGCACGGTGCTCCTTGGTTGCCAAGGAGACTTGCTTATACAGCCTTGGGACATCTATTGAAAGATCTGGTTTCTGAAATGTTGCTGTTACTGCTTTTTATTTTTGAAATAAAATTAACCCTGAGGACCCTGGTGGTAATTTGGCATCCGTTCATCTGAATTCAGGAGACGATTTCATTCAACTTCAAGAAAAGAGGTAATTGCACCATGTGATATGCTTAAAAAATGGATTCGTCAAAGGATTTTTTCAACGGATTGTATCTGGAATCATAAGTTATCCCCAATGTTGGTGATCTTAAAAAGATTCCAATTTTAATATCGTCCTCTCGATTTTCACATTGTATTTTGCAGTTCTCTCGTGAATGATTATCTTAACATTTGAAGCTGAAGACGATTTAATCATGGTTCCCCACACAAATATGATCTGTTGTAAACTGACCAGAACAGGCATATATATCTGTGAAATTTTTGTGTAATAAAGCAGCCCTCATGGCTTATATATCTTTGCCCTGAACTGCATCATTATCTACATGCATTGTCTGTACCTCTGCCCATTTCTGAGAAGAGTGTTTACAACTGTCATGATTTTTGGAGATGCACATCTCCTCTAGATACAAATCTCCAAAAAAAGATACGTAGGTCTAGACAAAAACCACGGCACTTGATATAATAGAGATGTAAAACTGGTGCCCTGGTTTCATACCCTAGATTGTAACCTTTTAGTGCTCACATTCAAGTGTACGGAGGAAGGACACACAGAAAGGTTGGTAGACCTTGTTTGCTCTGATGAACTGGCCCCTCTATTGGAGCATTGAGTAAGGGTACATGGAAGTGGTCAGGGCTCTTTTAGCACCCGAGCCCCTAAATCTGAGCTCTCATTTTGCCTCACTTGAACTTAAATCATAACCCTTGACAGTGATTGGCAACCCATTCAATTTACTTGCCCTATTTTCATACCTTCATCAGATTCAGAAATGACCCATTGCTAGTCAATAAATTTTTTTGCTTTCTTCTAGCATTTTTTCATCTCCTGTCTTATTGAAGGAGGTAAGGGGATATATCACATTCTTTTCATTTAAATTCTGAACAGTGTCCTACTGAGTATACTCATATAAGCACCAGGAAGCCAAATAATGACTTAGGTGGGTCAACAAGATTTATGCAAGGTAGTGGGTTGGAACATGATAATGATGACACAGTTTACAGTGCAGTTTACAAAGCACCTTTTGGATATTTCTTCTTAAAATCCTCACAACGTTGTGAGGTCTAGGAATTACTTTGCGTTTAAAGTGGAGAGAAGAAGCGAGACTTCGAGGTTAAAGCATTTGCCCAAGGTCATGGAGTGAATGAAGGAGGATGTCCCCTTTGGATCCAGGCTCTTGGATTGAACGCAGAGACAACTCTGTGTGTCTTCATTTCAGATGTGCACAGGGGTCAGGGACAGAAGAGAAAAGAGTGGAGAGGGCCCCCTTGAGAATTCTAGGAGGTGCAAACCAGTCTACACCGGGCAGCGCCTACTCAGTTGTAGCTGATTGTTATTGACCAGTGCCCCCAAACAGTTTCTTTTTCAAGAAAAAGAACCACTTCCAGATATTTTACGTAAAGTGTCTTTAGCTTTAAAAACTTGAAGGGCTGCAGTAAAAATATCCCCCTGGGCCACTTGCAACCCGTAGCAAACTGTAGAAGATGCAAAGTACATCTTCTGCAGTCTTCATCAGTTCTGAGCTACTGTTGAGCAAAATACTGCGGTGAACGATCGGGAATTATCCAATATTGGTATTAAAATCTGTAAAAGATTGTTCATGTCCCTTCTTTAAGAATCTGGTTAAAAAAAAAAAAAGAATCTGGTTCGAGTTCATTTTGATGTTAGCTCAGCCCACTTATCCATCTGAGAAAATAAAAGAGATGGAGTGCCTCAAAATGGAAATTTTGTTTTTAATCTGGTGAAACTAAAGCATTTATAGATAAAATTCTAAACTCCTTAGCTGCCTTGCCTCCTTTGCCACCCTGGCCCCCTTGGCCACAGGTAGGTGAAACATAAAGAAAAAAATCAGCTTCCTTCCTACTTGTTACTATAGGAAAACGCTGAATAAAGAGTTGGTCAGAAAACATGAATATCTTGAATCCTTCCATCACAGGTTCCTATTAAGGTTTTGGATTATTAGTTAAAATCTCCCCCAGAATACTGCTGGATACCAAAGGAACCAAGACTTTTAATGGAAACTCAGAGGAACAGTCAATTCTGACACTGTGGCTTAGAAAACACTGCTCTTTAAGAAGCAGAATCGTGTGGGTTAAAGAAGCCAGTACCTTGTGAGCAGCTGTCACTTTCTCAGGTTGCTCCTAACGTTACAGAGCAGATGCCAGGGGAGTCCACGGAAGTAGACATGGTGGTCAGAGAGGAGTGTTATTTCTGTTGCTTGGAGATCCAGAGAAGTGTAGTTAAAAAAGTCAAGATTGTAAACAGTGGCTATTAATGGGTCTCTTACTCTAAAGTCATCCTCTGGAATGAAGCTTATTAGTAATTAAGTGCATTTCAATTTTTAATTCATGGAAATATGCTGCAGTTGCAATAGATTTTTATATATGCTGGTGTTAGTTAACACCATTAATCTTGGCTGGGTGCTATTTTCTCCTCCCTCAACGGTTCAGAGGAAACAGGCACTAGGACTCTTGGCAATTTTCACTTCCAGAGCCCCTTTTAAAGGCAGGCTACTTTCCATGTTGTCTTTAAAGGTACCTATATAATGGGCATCTTATTTCTGTTCTATAAATGAAGAATCCAAGACCATATATCATTAAAGCGCTAGATCAATAAAAACAACAGCTGAATTTGAAACCAGGTCCTCATCTCACGTCTCCTTTCCTACTGTCTCTCCTCTCTTGGGAGATACCGACTTGATGGACATAATTGTGATCTGAGGACGTTTTTAATGTAAATGCTACAAGAGAGCTCTATGTTGGAGGGAAATTAGTGCTGGACCTTGGCAGTTGGGTCTGATTACGCTAAATGAAGATCCCTTTTAACTATTGAAAGATGGGAAACTCTGCCAGGGAGTCTGTTGGAAATGTGAGTTGAAGGTAATGCTAGTGATAATGGATATTGGGAGCTAATCTTTGTAATTTGAAGCGATGGCACAAGCTTTGGGTAATATTAGATCTCCAAGATGAAGTTTATCAAGAAGTTGGGGCTGAAAGAGTCTGTAGTTGGGCATAGAAGACAAGTTGTTGAACAGAAGATCAAGAAAGAGGAGTTGTAGACACAGAAGAGACTGAAGAATGCAGCACGGATTCTTCTAAAAGACTGAACTAAGGGCAAGGGGTAAGCCAAGACTCACTGGCGTCTACAACGAATCTGCTCCACAGTAAAGACTCATGAACTATGATGGCATGTCTCTCCTTTTAACAAGCAATATCTGGGACCTAATTTCTTCTCGTAATATCCCTTTCCTAACGAGAGCGTGTGCATAGGTCTTTTACAGAAGTGTCACTGTGGTGGACAAATATGCTACATTTCAACAGTGGGAAAAGAGATTCTGGCAAGTTAGATGTTAGAAGAAGAACAAAAGAGCAAACACATTTTCTCTCCTAGCAGGTTCACAGACTGGGAGGCTAGGGAGGAGCTTGGAGACAGAAATCTTTGAGTTAGATGTACTTTTGGCGAAGCCTCATCCATGTAAGCCTCGTCTGTGCTTAAATCCAGAGGGAAACCTTGGAGATGAATCAGTGTGTTCTACTCTTGATGGTGACTGCGACATGCCAGTGGAGGTTAGACTTGGATTTAAGTTCTAGATCTGCAATGATTGGGCAAGAGAGCTACGTGGAGGAAGGTCGGGCAAAAGCTATCAGGATGTTGGATAAATAGCAGTGTGTCACAGCGAGAATCTAGCACTCAGAGCTCTGACTTGATGGGAATCTATTTTAAAATCAGAGGGATTTTAATTCCCAGCAACGGCAATATAAGCCAATGTGATAGTCTGCTCTTCTCAAGCATATGAGTGAATACTGTAACAAGCCCATCTTTCTCATTAGACTTTTTGATGACAGTGAGGTTGACTGTATCCATATCAGCCAGGGCCCTCCTCCTCCTTCCCTCCTTATGCATAATGAGTTCTCATCGTTTCAGAATCCTTTCCAATTCGGAGAGCAGAACTTGAGAAGGCATCTCAGAACATTTTTTTCCCTTCTTATTGGGAATGAAGCCATGGGACTTATTTTGCTTATCTGGTTTTACTGTTAATAACAGATTATGTCAATCCCAGACTCCTCTTGCTGAGATCTTTCTCTACAAGGTGCTGAGCAGCGGGAAGGATCTAAGTTTTGGGAGGTTTCTTTCACTTGTGCCTTATGTTCATATGCCTATTGCATTGCATAAATCCATATAATTGAACTTGATTTAGACATAGAACACTCCATTTGGGAATTTTTTTTAAGAACTGTGTAGAAGAGAATAACAACTTTGCAAATTTGACTTGGACTCCGTTTAGTTCAACATTTGGCAAAGTGCATTCGAAGTTATATATTTGAATAAAATAGTTACCCCCCTGGCATGGCTGACATTACCAACCTACAAGGACTATTTTTGGATGAAGAAAGAAAGTCTTCGGCTGTTTTCATGGACTGTTGGTATTCTTCTGCATGTTTATTTGAAGCATAATTTATTCTATATTTTGTGCCAGATGACCCAGTTACAATTACTTAGAAGCAGAGCTATTTTTTGTGAGGGTACAACTGGTTTAACATACAGGATATCGAT